AGGTCCTTGGCTTGCCCCTCTACCTGCCGGAGGGCACAACTACAGCTGGCAGAGGAGCGGCATGGGCACGCCTCCTCGGATGACACCACAAGCAAAAGGGAGATTGCTCCGTGATGAGGAATTGTGACAAATCCATGACTGATCTCTAACTCAATACAGTTAACACTGCACATAGACACAGTCATAGGTCAAAGAGAGGCCTGTTTCCTTGCAGGCACGGCATATTCAGTATCTGCCAGACAGATTATGTTTGCTCAATTACAAACACACTGTGGAGATGACACACGGTACAGGAATCTCACAGCTATTGGGTTTTTCCTCGTTTTCTCCCACGGAGCACTTCCCACGATGCGCTCAGGAGACAACGCTGAAGAGGCCGGTGAGGTATGCAGTGGTCTAAGTGCGCTCTTAGCAGAACATGGGGCACAGAGGGCAAATGATGGTGAAGGACAGTCAGCCAAAGGCCTTCGCCATACCGCAATGGAGCCAGGCTGTGCCTCCCACAGCCAGGGCACTGGGTGCTGCCATTAAAAGGCTTCTGTGATGCTGAAACAGTGGGAGGAAACAAGCTCCAAGCAGAAAACGTACGGAACACGAAACAGAGCACAATGCCTGCAGAGTGGTGCTTGCCAACCTGATCTTGCAAAACCCACTTTCCTAAGAAACCCTCCCTCTGTCAGGAAAGTTCTTGATGTCAGTTAGGTGAACAGAGACTGCAGAGGTGAGCAGGGCCAGGAAGCTCCACAACACAAAGCTTGGGGTTAGCAAACGAGTCAGACTGCACAGAAACGATGCTGCTGCTGCTGCTGCTCTCTGGTTTGCTTTTGGAGGAGAACACAATCTACTTGCTCCCAGACATTCAAAACCAGAGAAAAATAACTAGCATTAATTGGCTGCCACCCTCCTCTGTTTAACAGAGCTCCAACGGAAATCACTGAGACCTGCTGCTGAACGCAGATCCGTGCCATCTTGCCCACCAAAAACCCAGTAGTCTCTCATTTCTTTAGGGGAGCTGGAGCTCAGTGAACTGAACATCATCATCAAAAACAAGCACCACAGATTTTTTTTAAGGATTAAGATATATCTATAGTCTTGCTTTTTACTCCTCAGAGTTTCAAGTTTCCTTTTTTTTTTTAATAACATCCAGTCCTCCTGCAAATCCTGAGTCTGAGGAGCTGTCAACAATATGCAGATTAT